ACGATGGTGATGATGATGATGATGATGATGATGATGACGACGACGACGATGGTGACGATGGTGCTGGTGGTGGTGATGATGATCATAGTGTTGATGATGACGATGGTGACAATGGTGATGTGCTGGTGGTGGTGACGACGACGATGACAACTACGACGACACCGACAACGATGGAAATTAGGATGGAAATGATTGAGATAATCATCATTATGTTGATAATGCTGCTGGTGGTGACAATCTTGGTGACAATGATGACGATGAGGAGGAGGAGGAGGAGGAGGAGGAGGAGGAGGAGGAGGAGGAGGAGGAGTGGCTGATCTGAAGTGTAGGGACCAGTGGAGAGAAAACCGGGAGAAGGAGAAGGAGAAGGAGAAGGATCAAATCAGGTGTAGAAACTGCCGCGAGGGAGAGGAAGTGATACAAGATGATACAGAACCAAGTTAGAGAATGCGCTACACAATGAGGAGCTGACCATTGCGGTGGACCTTTCCTTCGGGGAGGGAGATTACGATAGGTGAGGAGCATGAAGGGAGGGGTGCAAGGGAGGTGGCTGGGGAGGGGAGAGGAGGAAGAGAAGGAGCTGTGCTTGACTTGTAGCGGTAGAGGACGTTCGAGCCTTTCAAAGCAGCTCTGCTACTGCTACAGCTACATGAAGGACTATGAGAAGCCTCCCAGCTTCCACCTCACCTCATACACTGGTTGCCTCCTCCTCCTCCTCCTCCTCCTGCTCCTTCTCCTCCTTCTCTCCCTCGCATCGCCACGTCATTTCGCTGAAACTGCAGCACAGCTGAGGTGCAACAGCATCTCTCCAAGCGAGGCAGCGACAAATGGATCATTCACCGACATCAAGAGGTTGGAAGTTTAAGAATCACTCTCCTCCTCCTCCTCCTCGGAGGGAGGGAGGAAGGGAGGGACGGAGGGACGGAGCCTGGAACCTTCCCTCCCTCCCTCCCTCCCTCCCTCCCTCGAAGCTTCTCGTCTCCTCTTCTTTCTCACTGGACCTCAGGACATCCGAACTGTCTTCAAAGATCGCCTGCAGGACCTCATCTTCCTCTCTCCGGACTCCCCTAACGTCCTTGAAACCATTGAGCCGGGCAAGGTCAGCGCTCAACCTACCTCTCTCTTCCTCTTCCAAAACCACCACCGCCACCTCCTCGTCCTCGTCCTGCCGCTCTCGCTTGACTTCCTTTCACCCTAGCACCTCACGCTTTATCGCAGATCTACGTCATCGGGGGGATCGTGGATCGAACGGTGCAGAAAGGCATGTCGCTGACGAAGTGGGAGAAGCAAGCCACAGCGAGCGGAGAGGTGAAGCGAGCTGGAGATGAAGTCATTCGATCAGCCCGGCTGCCTATCAACGAGTATGTCTCGCGAGATGTGCAGGTGCTGTGACTGTCCTTCCCTCTCTTCTCTTTCCCTTCGCTTCTCGACCTCTCCCTCCTTGCCCTCCTTCTTCCTTGTCTGACCTCCTCCTAGGGCCGCGGACACGTTCTCAACATCAACGTCGTCTTCCATGTGCTGGTGGAATTCACAAGGACGCGAGACTGGAAGCAAACGCTCACGGAGGCGTTCGATAAACTTTATCCCATCCGGTGAGTGAGCAGGACGAGGCAGCAGCAGCTGACTTGACCTCCAGTACTGCGAGGAGCAAGAGGGAGAAATCTTCACCATCGTCCACGACCGACACCAGCGTTCTGTAGAGCCAGCGATTAGCGTCATGCTGTCTTCCTGCCCACAACTTACAAACACGTCGCGGTCGATGCCCCAGTCCTGCGTCATGTGAATCAGGAATGGAAGAGAAAGAACATGAGGGAGAGGCAGCAAGTGGTGATGAGAGCCTAGTGATGTGATAGACAGGAAGCGAGGAATGCAACTTCAAGCCTGACGATGAGAAGGCGAGATGAGCAGGAGAAGAAGATCAGTGGGGGAAGGAGAGGAGCGAGAGAATGAAGAGAGGAGAAGGAGATAATTTTTCAGACCTCCCAAGCGGTTGAGATCGCGAGACCTTCAAGCCTATCAAGATCAATCTTTCCAGCCTGCCATTTGAGTCACTCGTCGCTCGCTCGTCCTCTCCACTCACGTCGAGGTCGTCGACGACCATGTCAGCTTCCGAGAAATCTTCATTGCGCGTGTAGGTCGACTTGGTGATGAGGCAGGACATGTCGGCAGCCTTGGCAGCCTCAAGCCCAATCCTGCTGTCCTCGATCACCACACTGTCCTCGGGTCGCACGCGGAAGAAGTTCTTGGCAAGGTTGTAGATGTCCGGAGAAGGCTTCTTGCGTGGGACGCAGTCGCCAGCGAAGATAGAGATCTCCTTGGCGCGGTCAGGGCCCATCATGTCGACGATCTGCTGCACAGCCTTCTCGTTGGAGGTCGAGCAAACCCCGATGTACACCCCCGCAGCCAGCGCCTCGTCGACGATGCGCGTCACACCAGGGCGAAGGGGAATCTTACCTGCCGCGATGAGCTCCTTGAAGATCTGCGTCTTCCTCTCGTGCAGCATCTTGGCCAACTCCCAGTTCCCCTCCTGGAAGCCGATCGACTCCCAGTATCCCATCATCCTCTCCTTTCCTCCTCCGATCTCCACCAGCTTGCCGTACAGCTCTTCATCCCATTGCATGAGCTTGTCGCCATTCTTGAGACCCGCTTCTTCGAAGGCCAAGTTAAAGGCGATGCGATGACCGTCTCTCTCTGTGTCTGCCAGCACTCCGTCGCAGTCGAAGAACACGGCCTCAAGCTTCGCCTTGAGACCCGTCGCCTTCATGCTATGAGAGCGAGCTACTCTACCATGATGGGCTCTGAGAGGAGCTGAAGGAAGAAACCCGAGCGCACATGGAAATTCAGACGCGAGGGCACCGAATAGGAAGATGGCGAGAGGCGTGCAGGACCGCATGTCCAGCCTGTGAACGGTGGAGCGTAAGTTCGAACCCCAACTTCAACAGATGAACTTTGAGCCTGCTCCGCTCCTATCACCTTCGCTGTCATGCTTACTCTCTGTTCTTCTTAGGACATTTCATACCTTCCCTCTTTCGCAAGACAACATAGCATGTCTGCTTGGCTGTGGCCTTGCCCCCTTTGACTTTGCTTTTCATTCCTCAACACTGACATGTCTGTTCCTGGCCTCTTATTTCTTCGTCCTCTTCTCCCATGATATAGCATACACGTGCTTCATATTCTGGTGCTGTCTGTATGTTCACACGCTTTCATCACTCTCTGATCCTCCTCCTCCCTCCTCCTCCTCCCCCTCTCTCCTTCATTCCCGACATTCAAGCGTCACGTGCCCTGCAACAGACCACGTGACATATCACATGCCGTAAAGTCACATGACCTCAACTTGCCTCCGGATGCAAAGGTGGACATTGTCCTACGAAGATTTTGATTTGTTTGACAAGCTTGGTCATGGCAGCGACGAGGGTGCTGGTGCTGCTGCTGCTGCTCATGGCGGGGCCGCGAGGTCATGGCGGCGACGTGACTGAGCTGACGAGATCATGGGCCGAACAAGATGCGCTGGCCATGGCAGAGGAAGCGAAGGTGGCGGGGCCTGCAGATACGACTGAAGCTGACGCATGCTTGACAAGGGAGCAGGAAATCAGAGGGCATCGGGGACTCTCTTGCTGACGATGCTGATCAAGAACGAAGAGTTTCACCTACAGCGATCGCTTCCTCTATGGGCTCCCATCATCGACTTCTGGGTGATCGGGATAGGTGCAACCGATGCTCTCCTCCGCTACGTGAGGGTGAGCTGACTTGAACACAGACAAGAACAACACGGACCGCAGCGACGTCATCGTCCACCACCATCTTAGTCACGTTCCTGGTGAGCTCATTGTCGTCGACTTCGATGGCATGGGCCCTACCTGGACCAAGGCATGCTCCCTCCTCCTCTGGCGCGATTGACCTGCCGCCCAGCTGGTGGAGCACGGGCTCAAGACCTTTCCTCAAGCAACGCACGGGATCCTCGCAGACGCTGACTTCACTCCTCTCCCTCAGACCCTCGACAAGGCCCAGCTCGACTCCTCCTGCTCCAAGCTGAGCTTCTCCATCCTAGAGGCTGACGGAGCGGGTGGGAGAGGCTGGGACAAGCAGGTTCTAACCGCATGTAGGCACGAGAGCCATCGACTGGATCTACAGGAACATCCCAGGGGTGCGAGTAGCTCGACGAACCCATCAAGTGCTGCTCCTCCCAAGATGATGATGAGATGATGATGATGATGATGATGACGATGACGATGATGATGACGATGACGATGACGATGTGGTAATGGTGGTGATGATCATGAGCATGATGATGGTGGTAGTGAAGAGGTCGGGGAGCATCTCAATGACTCAACAGATTCTTCTTGTTCCAGCGCTTCCAAATCAGCAGCAATATCAGGTGACATGAATGATGCGACTGCGGAGATGATGAAGATGCAGAGGCAAATCAGCTTCACTGTTCAAGAGTTTGCCGACGGCTATCAGGCGAGAGCAGCAGCTTGTCAAGGGTAGTGACGTCAGGTGCAGGACAGAGCGGGGAACAAGTCAGGGCGATACATCGAGTGGCTGCTCAAGGACCTGGAGGTTTTTGTTCGGTCGCTGTCAACCCTCAGCTCACGCCGCTCTCGACCTGCAGGAGCTGCCGGGAGACGCGAGGACGATCCACTACCTGGGGAAGGAGCACCTGAACCTGATAGGCGACTGCCCTCCTCCCTCCCTCCCCTAGTGATCCTCCAGCAGGACGCGACCCCGTCAAGGACCTCCGCAGCAACCCTCCTGGTCTGTCGCTCTAGAGCTCTCAAGGTGACTCATCCCCGCGCAGGGCCGGGAGCTTGGCATGTGCGTCAGTCATTGTACTACTACAAGTGGGTTGGGCAGAGAGGAGGAGGAAGAGGAAAGTGAGGAAGCTGATTGTGAGAGCTGGACAGGTGGCGGTCAAGGATTGGTAGAGAAGCGCCTCATCTCGCTTCTTGTAAGTTGGGATACTGCAGAACTTCCAGGCTTCGGTCCTGGACAGAACCTTGACGAGGAAAGGTGAGGAGAAGGAGAAGTAAAGTATTGTATGAGAAGGAAAGCAACTGAGTTTTCTATGGAGATACTGGGCGATGCTAAAGACTGCAGAGATCTGCGAAAGATACTTGTTCGATTTTGATTGCGCACTGAAGTATTGGCACAAGGTGAGATCGAACGCAATAGCGTGGAGGAAGAAAGAAGGCGAAGGAGGGAGGGAGGAAGGAGGGAGCCGAAGGAAGACGGAAGGAGGAGGAGGAGGAGGAGGGAGGAAGGAGGAGGTGGTGGTGGAGGAGGAAGAGGTAACGCATTGATGTCGGTTGCCTTCAGGCTTGGGATCTTGATCCTCCTCGAGCAGACGCTGTCTTTTACATCGGTCAACATTACCGGCTGCAGCGAGACGGAGGGAGAGCCGTCAAGTACTTGAGAAAGACCATCAAGCTCCTCATGCCCAGGTTCCCCCCTCTTCCTCCCTGACGCTCCTTACCCGATCAGACGAGCGCATCACCAGTGGCCCTACCTCTACTCCTGCCTCCGCCACCTCGAGCTCGTGCGAGCTGCGTCCTCCCTCACCCGGTACGACCTCCGTTCCCTCCGCTCCCCTCCCCCTCCTGTCTCTGTCTCCCTCCTTCCGTCTGACGAGCGTGCAGTGACTCTCATCTCTCCTCCAAGGCCTTTAGAGACGTTCAAGCCTCCTACTACGAGGCTCTGGTACCCCGAGATGCCTCCTCCTGCTCCTCCTTCTGCTCCTCCTCCTCCTCCTCCTCCTGCTCCTCCTCCTGCTCCTCCTCCTCCTGTTGTTCCCCTTCTCTCACCATCCTCCCAGCGACATTGCCCGGATGAAGATAAGGCAGGGCTCGAAGTTTTGTTCGCTCAAGTAAGTCCAGCATATGTGCCCTGACTCCTCCCCTCTCCTCCTTCTCCTCTCCCCTCTTCTCCTCTCCCCTCCTTCTCCTCTCCCCCCCTTGCGCTTCTCTTCTGACTCTGACAACTTCAAAAGGCCACAGATCGACGATTGAGAAGCAAACAGCGCAGGGATGCAAACAAGGAAAAGCCTCCTGCCTCCCCCCCTCCCCCTCCGCCTCCGCCTCCGCCTCCGCCCTCCCCCCCGCCCTCATCGTCCCGGACGATGGAGTTGTGATGAAGGCAAGGAGAAGAGAAGGACACGAGAGGATGCGATGAGTCTGTTCCACATGACCTCTTCTGTTCATGGACGAGGAGAAGAGATACGTGAGCTGCTGTCCGTCTCATTTCAGTTGGAAAGGTTCGGCGGGAGCTGCGCGGATAAGTTGGGGGAATCGCTTGCTCGCTCCTACGCCATCCGTGAATGGAAGAGGAGCAGATGAAGAAAAAGGGAGGGGAGGGAGAAGAGGAGGGAGCGGAGGAGACGGGGTGAGAGGGAGGGAAGAGAGCAGAACGAGAGCGGGTGAGGGGAGGAGAGGAAGAGAGGAAATACTCGATTCGCAAACAAGCTTTGGGCTTCTTCGATCTCATTGTCTGATACAAGAAAACAATCAAGACAAAACAGAGAACCAAGCTTTCATAAGCACAAGAGCTTCAACTAACACAAGCTCACCTGACTTGTCTGGGATGCTGTCGAAGTGAATCTTTCCTGTGAGTTGCAACCTGATCGCGAGGTCACTCCCCTCAGACCCCTCAGACCCCGCGAGCTCTTCACATCTCAGCCATGACGGTGTTGGGGTACAAGGCGACCAGCTCGTCCACCACCTCTTCCGCAACTTCTTCGTCCTGCGGTTAGGGGGGGCTCACTTGCTCGTCTCTCCTCCTCCTCCTCCTCCTCCTCCTCCTCCTCCTCACCGTCATCAGCTCCTCGTCTTCGTAGTCCACGTGCACACTTCTCGTCTGCTCCTGTGGCAGCTTTGCCTGTTCCTCCACCTCAGCCGTGCCAGCGCATCTCGTCGCTCACCCAGACAGGACCGAAGTGAGCGAGTCGTCGCGCTCGTTCCCGCAGGTACACCTCCTCGCTAGTCCTACACAGCCTTCACCTCCTGCCCACACGCCTCGGCCCTGACCTCTTCCTCTCGCACCCGCACCCCGACAGCCGGTAAGCGCCCCAGGCGAGCACGACCTGCGGTGAGGGTGAGAGGGGAGGGGAGACAGCGGATGAGAGAACCTGGCCGGTGAGCATCAGGAGCGAGGAAGCGTTGAAGTAGATCCTGGGACTCTGAACCTGCAGGTACCGTCAACCCCCAAAATCAGGAGAGCAGAAGAAGGAAAGCAGGGAGGTGGAGGGAACAGGAGGTGGTCGAGGAGGAGGAGGAGATCTGACCTTGGCTCCTGGCGGCCACTTGTCTACAGAGGTGTTGACCATCACCAGGTAGATAAAGTCCGTGACGATGCCGAAGGCCTTCACTGAGCATGAGAGAAGAGGAGAAGAGAGGACAGGACAGGACAGGACAGGACAGGACAGGACAGGATAGGACAGGACAGGACAGGACAGGACAGGACAGGACAGGACAGGACAGGACAGGACAGGACAGGAGAGTAGCGACCTGGAAGGAGAAATGAAGCCTCTTGTCGCAGCTACAAGGTCCAATTATGTTTGACAGCAGCAGAACAATCTGATGCAGCTCGATAAGACGAGAAACACGAGAGGGACAAGGTCAAGAAAGGGGAAGAGGAGGAGAGGAGAGGAGAGGAGGAGAGGAGGAGGAGAGGAGGAGGAGGAGAGGAGGAGGAGAAGAGGAGGCGGAGAAGAGGAGGAGAAGAGGAGGAGGACGAGGGATACCTGGAGGCATGTTAGCAGCCAAAAACTGATGAGGTAGTACTCCGGCGGTCCGTCCAGCAAAACTCTGAAGCAGCGGGAGAAAAATGAGTGGAGAAGTAAAAGAATGGGAGAGAGGATGAGGAGGAGGGAGGGAGGAGGGAAGCGATCGAGGAAGGAAAGAGGCAGGAGGAAGAGGTCGAGGGGGAGCAGAGAATCGGTGAAGAGGAAACGCAATGACATGAGGTCGTGGGTGAGGAGAGAATGGATATTCCCGAGAATCAAGAGAGAAATAAGAAGAGATGAGATAGCAAGCAGGTGAGATATGGGATAGCAGTGATAGCAGTGATAGCAGTGATTATGTGAGATGAGATGAGATGCGATAATGTGCATGCGATGTAATGTGATATGTAGTAAATCACATCATACACTCTTACGTATGCCCTCCCGCACTAACAGGAACTGAGTTCGGACCAAACTTTGTTCCATGGATCGCGATGAAGACAACTCCGAGAATGCTGCCGGTCAGAGGAAACAAGTACCCCACAATGATGTACACAGCTGCGGCAAACATGAGGAAGGAAAGCAATGGCTCGAGCTCGAGGTTACCCTGCTGTCTCCTGGTGAACTGACTGTTGCGATCTCTCGGTCGCATCGTCTTCTCAGCCTTTTCCTTGTTCTTCTTGTTCTTCTCCTTCTTCTTGTTCTTGTTCTTCTTGTTCTTGTTCTTGTTCTTGTTCTTGTTGTTGCTCCTCTCTCGCTCTGATCGCTCGCCTAGTTGTTGTTGCGCTTCCTCCTCGAGTGAGTCGGTCGATCAACCTCACATGACACCACTGCAAGCTGACATGCAGCAGGTGGACGGAAAGCGCAAGCAGCGACAGGTAGCGGGGGAGTGGGAGGGATGGAAGAGGTGGGAGGGAGAGGGAGGAGGAGGGAGTCTAACGACTGCGGCTGCGCTGGGGCAGTGGGGGGAAGGGCGGGGGCAGGCGACGACAGCAGCGGGTGCGAGGTGGGCGAGGAGGGGGGAGGGCGAAATGGGGGAGGAAAAAGAGGCGGGTGAACAAGGCGGGTAATGGACGGCAGAATATAGCAGCAGCGAGTGAGGGGGGAGGCAGGGAGGGAGGGAAGCAGCGAGGGAGGGAGGGAGGGAGGGAGGGAGGGAGGGAGGGAGGGGAGGGAGGCGGAGGGAGGGAGGGAGGGAGGGAGGCGGAGGGAGGGGAGGGAGGCGGAGGGAGGGAGGGAGGGGAGGGAGGCGGAGGGGAGGGAGGGAGCGAGGAGATTCAAAGAGTGGGAGGGGAGGAGGGAAGAGGTGCAAGGTTGTTTCATTATTTCTACGCGTGTCTGCCATACAGCTTGGGGTACATGGTCACCGTCAACATCTTGATCGCCTCCACGCACTTGCGCCATGCGGCCGCCCACCTGGAAGCAGTGAGGGAGAGAAGAAGGAGAGGCACGTCACATGGGGAGCTGCTTCTTCTTGGAGACAGACAAAGCCTTGTCCATCGAGCTAAATAGAATCATCACCTGACCGCACGCTGTCAACGACCTCCACTCCTCCTCCTCCTCCTCCTCCTCCCAATTCACTGACTTGTTCGAGAGACATATCTGCTTGGTCGAGGGGTTGCAGGACCTGCAAGCTTATGAGTCAGCGATACCAGAAGGAGGAGCGAGGGCAAGGAGGAGGAGGAAGGAAGAGGAGGAGGAGCGAGGGAGGCAAAAGGGGGGAAGGGGGAAGGAGGAGGACACGGGAGGGGAACCGGAGGAGGGGGACGAGGAGGAGAAGGGGAGGGGGACGAGAAGGAGCGAGAAGGAGAAGGTTGAGGGGAAAGAGAGGAAGAACAGAGGTCGGGGAGAGGAGGAGAAAGAGAGGAGGAGGGGGGAGGGAGGAGGAGAAGAGGGTGGGGGAGGGGGAGGAGGAGCGAGCCTTGTCGTTGAGGTCCACGAAAAGATCGCGAACTTCTCGCCATTCCTGGACACTTGATCACGTCGAGGGTCAAGGAGGTAGCCGCACTCACTTGCAGACCAGAGCCGATCTGAGCGATCGCCTTCATGATGCTGTTGAAGTTGGACTCCAACGCAGCCTATGCCCTCACACCTCACAACTTTCTCCAGCTGCTCCCCACCAATCCTCCCATCCCCGTCCTCACCTCGTCAGCCTCCCTCTCCTTCTCTCCTCTCCTTCTCTCATCTCCTTCTCTCATCTCCTCTCTTTCCCCGCAGCATCTCCTCTCACCATCATCTTTCTGGTCGTCTGCATGTGATGAGACCCGGTGCCGGTCCCGAGATGGATGCTTCCTCCTCCCCCTCCGCCTGACCAGGCGCCATCCAAGTCTGCGATAGTGCTCTGGCACATGACCGTAACTTGGAGGGGAGGAGCAGGAGGAGGACAGGAAAACCTTGAAGGAGGAGAGGATGTGCTTCCTAATGTCCGAGAACGTCTCCTTGTCCAGCAGAGCCTCCTTGGCTTGTCGCATCTGCCAGCTGGGCATCAGCAGGAGGCTCTTCATCGACTCCCCACCTGGTCGGTGAAGTGAAGGTCCAGCTCCTGACACAGACGTCAGCGAGCTAGTCAAGCGACGTGAAGGCCCACCAGCGACTTCTCGCTCCCCCACATCGCCATCACAACCCCCGAGAGAGAGTTCCACTCGCTGCATGCCCGCAAGTCAACCAAGGCAGAAGAAGATGACAAGTTGTTGAACTTGAAGTCAAGGAGGTTCAGACGCGACTTGAACGTCTCGATCTTGTTGAAACATAAGAAGATCTGAAGGCGGTCACTTGAGCTCCTACAGCTTGAGATAGATGGATACCATGTGAAGGTACTGTGAAGCAAGTTCCATGGGAAGGCAAAAATCCTCCTGAAGCAGCTGGTGTGAGGGTTGACGGAGCTTTCAAGCAGAAACCACCTGAATCATCTCCAGGATGGTCTTGGTGAGTAACCTTAAGAGCATCTCACAAGCAAGCGCAGCCATGCCCTCCATCACCTCCCTGACGCCCTCACAGCTTGAATCTCCTACACCACCTCGTGACATCCCGACTTCAACCCTCCACCCGCAACTCACCGTCTCCACGTGTTTCATGATTCTTTTGGTATTGTTGAATTGTCTCCTCACCGACCGAACCTCCTCGACTATCATCTCCATCGCCTCCTCCTCCCTCTGCCTTACCTGCACTCTCAACATCTCCGAGTTGTCCTCCACTTCCCTGCCGTCTCCCTGGCAAGTATGCTTCAGCTCGACCCTGGTGAGATTGCTCCCCTGCCTTGCTCAGAGCCTTTCCCAGCAACTCTCTCATCACAGTTTCGTCAAAGCTGGAAGCAAGTCAGGACAAGGAAGCGCTATGACTCGCGGCACCTGTAGTACTCTTGTATCATGAACGTCACGTCCCCTGAGCATCTGAGTCAGCCACTCGCGGGGGATCAGCGACCGTAAGGTTGCCTGGGTACAAGGTGTACAAGGATTGCGTCTAGAAGCAAGAGGTGATCAACACAGAGGAGACCGCAGACCTAGATCTGTCTGTACCTGGAAGAGAGGAGGAGAGTTGAGCATCGGAGTCAGCCACTCGTAAAGCTGGAATTGCTCATTGCATTCCTGCCTGCTCGAGCGTGAGCGAACTAGTCAACGACACTTGTCATCGACTACCTGTTGATCCGTCGAGCAACGTTGATGCGCGAGTCATGCGGGTCCACTATGTTCATGTTGGTCAGGATGTTCTTCAAGAAGGCCTCTTTGTATCGAGCTGCTTCAGCTGCTGTATGCCCGCGAATCCAAACCTGATGAAGGAGGGAGAGCAGTGAGGAAGCGAGTCGAACAGCGAGAGGATGACTTGCCTTGAAGGCTGCCTCATCTATCTTGATCTTGTCAGTCACGAAGCACTCAAGCACCGTCTCTACTCCCGGGATCTCAGCCATCGCTACTTTCAAGTCGGTGCCAACCCACTGGCAAAGAGCTGGAGCTGACAAAGCGAAGACAAGCCGAGGCGATGAGAGGTGTGTCTACAACAGATGATAGATGAGAAATGAGAAATGAGAGGTGTGTCTAGAACAGATGATAGATGATAGATGAGAAATGAGAGGTGTGTCTACAACAGATGATAGATGATAGATGATAGATGAGAGGTGTGTCTAGAACAGATGATAGATGATAGATGATAGATGAGAGGTGTGTCTACAACAGATGATAGATGATAGATGAGAAATGAGAGGTGTGTCTAGAACAGATGATAGATGATAGATGATAGATGAGAGGTATGTCTACAACAGATGATAGATGATAGATGAGAGATGAGAGGTGTGTCTAGAACAGATGATAGATGATAGATGATAGATGAGAGGTATGTCTACAACAGATGAGAGTTTTCTTTTCCCTGCCTTCCATTTCGCTCGTTCATCTTTCTCCTTGATCTTTTAGTTAAGTGGAGACAAGCAAGGAGCGAGCTAGCCTAGTAGGCAGGAAAGGAAAAGCATGAGTCCGCCTCGGCAAGAGACTAAAAGAAAGATTGTGGCAGCGAAACTCGGAAAACGCCCGCGGCCGCCGGGCCGGCCCGGGCCGGCCCGGGCCGGCCCGGCCTTCGACTCTCAGCCTTCGACGGGTCCGATAAGATTACTCAAAGTTAACTGATAGTCCCCGGTAGTATTTTATTTAAGCATTTTATATAGTACTCTCCCAGCTGGAAACATTTCGGAAGTTTGAAACTCGGAGTGACCAGTCGACACCACTAGCCTGATCCAGGCGCCGTGATCAAGCGCTACAGCTCCCTTGTTCCTGCTTGTTTTGCTTGAGGCACTTTTTACCTTCTGCCAGTAAATCTTCTCTACCCCTCTCTAGTAATCCTGCAGCTTTCAAGCTCTACTGCAAACACATACTCCAAGGCCCGGGTCCTCTCCAAGGGGTCCTCTCCAAGGGAGCTCATAAACCTGGTCTCCGGCCCACCGTTATCGGGTCCGCACACCGTCGACTCGCGACGAAGCTTGCTTTGGCAGCGATTCGCTCATTTCTTGACCAGCACTTCAACCCGGCGTCTGCGCTCCTGCCTCGACAAAGTGGCAACCCGAGGACGAGCTCGCGGTGATGAGGAGGACGTCGCGAACCCCACAGTGCTGGTGAGTTTGGATGCAAAGAACGCCTTCAACTCCCTCGACCGCCCGGCCAGGCTCTCTTCGGCGGCGGGTCTGCTGACAGTTGCCAGCAGTGCTGGTTACTTTTGGTCTTGTATTTTTGTGTGTGTTTGTGCCGCTTAGCTTCTCGCTGTGCGCTGTGTGCATGCGGCTGCTGAATGTTTACTCGCAGAAGGTAAAACTTGTGCCTCAAGCAAACGAAAGCACCAGCTATGAGGAGTTTTACTCGCATAAGGGAAAAAGTGCCTCAAGCAAAAGAAAGCATGAACAAGCTAACACCAGCGGAATAGAGTTTAACACCATGCAGGTTTAGCTTGTTCCTGCTTTGTTTTGCTTAAGGCACTTTTTACCTTCTGCGAGTAAACATCGAAGCCTGAGTCATGTGAGTTTTACTCGCAGAAGGTAAAAAGTGCCTCAAGCAAAAGATTATATAGGATTTACTGGCAGAAGGTAAAAAAGTGCCTCAAGCAAAACAAAGCAGGAACAAGCTGAACCGTGGGAGACGGATTTACTGGCAGAAGGTAAAAAGTGCCTCAAGCAAAACAAAGCAGGAACAAGCTAAACCTGCTTGCACACAGCGCACAGCGAGAAGCTGCACAAACACACACAAAACACAAGCCCGAAAAGAACCAGCACTGCTGGCTCTTGTGTCCAGCCTCCCTCCGTCCGCTGCCCCAGGCGCCGACCCCCGGGCAACGCCGCCGCTCCTTGTCGGCGGCTGCCCTTTCTCCGTCCGCGGCCGCCCGCTTTGTGGCGGCAGCGGACGTCTCGACTGACAGTGGTCAGTCGGCTGCCTCCGGGTATCGCGTCTAAGGGATTTTATTCCTCCTGCTTGCTCCTGCTGCTTGTTGCTTGATTGCTTGACCCTTAGGCTGCTTGTCTGCGCGGCTTCGCGCTTGGGCTGGCGCTGCCGCGTCTGGAAGCCCATGATGGATTTACTGGCAGAAGGTAAAAAGTGCCTCAAGCAAAACAAAGAAGGAACAAGCTAAACCTCCTGGCACACAGCGCACAGCGAGAAGCTGCACAATCACACACAAAACACAAGCCCGAAAAGAACCAGCACTGCTGCGGACGTCCGATCTCGACTGACAGTGGTCAGTCGGCTGCCTCCGGGTATCGCGTCTAAGGGATTTTATTCCTCCTGCATGCTCCCGGTGCTGCTTGTTGCTTGATTGCTTGACCCTTAGGCTGCTTGTCTGCGCGGCTTCGCGCTTTTACTGGCAGAAGGTAAAAAGTGCCTCAAGCAAAACAAAGCAGGAACAAGCTAAACCTCCTGGCACACAGCGCACAGCGAGAAGCTGCACTATCACACACAAAACACAAGCCCGAAAAGAACCAGCACTGCTGGCACCCGGCAGACGCGGCAGCGCCAGCCCAAGCGCGAAGCCTAAAATCCCTTACACGCGATACCCGGAGGCAGCCGACTGACCACTGTCAGTCGAGACGTCCGCTGCCGCCACAAAGCGGGCGGCCGCGGACGGAGAAAGGGCAGCCGCCGACAAGGAGCCGGCGTTGCCCGGGGGTCCGCCTGGGGCAGCGGACGGAGGGAGGCTGGACACATGAACACGGTACCGCTCGAGGTAGTCCTCCTCGCTAGCCTCCGAGTCAGCGGTAGCCAAGTCAGTGGTAGCCGCCCGTGACGGCGGCGACGCCGCGGCAATGCCCAAGGACCGGCGTGACCCGGCGACCGATGCCGGGGAGGAAGCAGGCGAGCTCGGACCAGCAGCAAGCACCCCAGTGGTGTCGAGCTCTCCGGAGGCACCCGACGTCACAGTGAGGGACGGAGACGCTTCGCCAGCTCCGCGCCGATCGTCGGGGCCACTCGAAGGGTTTCCCCCATCGGAGTCGGAGACCTCCGGCGAAGACTCCCCCTCGGGCGACTCGACAAAGTCCGAGGAGGAGCTGTCCTCTGGCTCGAGAAGTGCTTGCGCCCGCAAGGGCGTCATGCGCCTCGCACCAGACAAGAGCGCCTCCAGCGTCAGCTGCATGGTGAGGCGCTGATAGGTGGCGGCGCGTTTGCGAGCCAAGACCTCAGCAGCAGGGCCGTCATCAGGCACGAAGTGCCGACCAAACGCCGCATCCTCAAGAGGCATCGAGCGCTGAGCAATGATGTCCGCCAAATACCAGATGAAGCGGAGGGTGTCAGGATGCAGGGTACCGTCCGTCGAGATGGCAAGAGGGATGAACGCTCGAGGAGGAGTAGTCATGGCATATGCAGCGCGATGTTTGCGAATCTTCTCAGACGCTGCAACATATATAGGATTTACTGGCAGAAGATAAAAAGTGCCTCAAGCAAAACAAAGCAGGAACAAGCTGAACCGGCAGGTACACAGTCCACAGCGAGAAGCTGCACAATCACACACAAAACACAAGCCCGAAAAGAGATGGCAAGAGGGATGAACGCTCGAGGAGGAGTAGTCATAGCATATGCAGCGCGATGTTTGCGAATCTTCTCAGACGCTGCAACATGGAGGGCGTCGAGGTTGACCTCCCCCCACTTGGTCAGGTCGGCAGAGCTACCAATGTAAGGGTGGACCAACGTCACGTCCGCCATCAAGCCCTCGTACTGCTCGGACCCTCGATCGCGGATTCCAGGGATGTGGATATCGCCCTTCATCTTGCGGCCATGAGGATGGGAGGGTACCTGCCGTCGAGAACGAGGATCCCCCACTGTATCGATGACGCTCTGAAGACCAGCTTCGTTCAGCATCGACCGAATCGTACGAGTAAGGTTGTCATGCGCCGTGGGAAGCTTGGAGGATCGGCGTTTGCAGGTCTGGAGATGATGTGCAGCAACGGAGGGGTCGAGCTCGCGCTGACATCCATCACATTCCGTCGGACACTGGCAGATCGGCATGCCATGGAGATAGCAGTCGAGCATCTGAGCATAGCGGTGCGGGAAGGCCTTGAGGGGGTAGTAGCTCGAGACTCGCATCGGAGAGTGGCTCAGGTCTCGCTCAGGAAAATGAGCGAAGATGGTAGACTGCAAGACCCTATCCTGCGACTTGAGCGAGTGTGTCCTGCGGCTGTGCAAGGTGAGGATATCACGCTGCTGATCGGTCAGCGCAGCGCGAGCATGCACATGTCGAGGGAAGACGCGCATTACAAGAGGAGTCACATTTCGCTGCGCAGGGGGAGGAATGAAGTGCTCATGAGACGAGTCGACGAGAGCGCGCAAACCAGGGATGTGTACCACAGATGCCGGGGGGCGGCCTGCGTCATCAGGCACAGCAGCCGGGGCAGGTGGGATCGCCGCGCCATCTGCAGCCGGTGCAGGAGCCTTGACACGACGGTAGAGGATCGCTCCAGCATTATGAACGAAGTCGTGCGCCTCAACGAAGAAGGTCGCCAGAGGATGCTTCTGGGCACGGAGAGATCTCGAGCAGTGAACGTCCAGGCTATGAGGAGAGGGCAAGGTCCGGGACATGGGCTGGTCAGAGTACCAAGCGAGGAAGCGAGCGATAGCCGTATAGTAAACAGCGGGGTGTAGACCCTCAGAGGGCGTGAACTCGTCCCCTCCCCGACTATGCGGAAGCTCCCGCTTGAACCTCGCAAACTCGAGCAGGTCGGGATGCGCGGCGAGGTACTGCGAGGAAGGCCAGCGGTGGTATTTCTCTAGCGCCAGGTGGACAGAGAGGTCAAAGCGACGAATCTGTGATTGGACCCGCGGGAGAAACGGAGAAGACCCCTGGAGGAAGAAGCGCAGCTTCTGGAGATGGCTCGCCCTCACCAGCGTCTTGAACATGAAGCCATGCTGGACGAGCCCGAGCTTCGAGAGCTCTTCGTTGAGGGTAGAAACCTTCGCTCGGAGCTGACTAGCATGAAATCCATCCGTGCCGATAGGCAGGCCGCCAAGTGTAATCCCGCCAGTGACGACCTCGAAGTGAAGAAGTTGAGTCTTGAGACGGCGCTTAAGGCTCTTCTTCAGCTGCGAGAGATCAGGGTGTTGATGCCAGGAGGGGATGTAAACTTTCGACTCGCGAGGTTGAATCTCTAGCTTCAGATCAGCTAACATGTACTTCTTCATAGCGGACGTAGCTGCAACGGCATCCTCGAGTGGACCGACAAGCACGACGTTGTCAGCATAGGCCAAGACTCGAACAGAGGGAAAAAGCTCTGCGATATGGAGGAGCAGGGGGTGGATACTGTGGCAGAAAAATACGCTGGAGGGGACATCGCCCTGACAGACGCCCGAGGTACACTGAACGGAGGCTGACTGACTTTTGTGAAAGAGTCGAAGGTCAGCAGAGGCTCCATAGTAGCTGGAGAGGTAGGAGGCGAACAAACGGAGATGCTCGCAAGAGGGCAAGCTTGCGCCTTCAGTGATGCTCCCAGCAGCAGCAGCAGCAGCAGCAGCAGCAGCAGCAGCAGCAGCAGCAGCAGCAGCAGCAGCAGCAGCAGCAGCAGCAGCAGCAGCAGCAGCAGCAGCAGCAGCAGCAGCAGCAGCAGCAGCAGCAGCAGCGGCGGCGGCGGCAGCAGCAGCAGCAGCAGCAGCAGCAGCAGCAGCAGCGGCAGCAACTTCGGCGGTCACCTCGGCACCTGCAGCCCTCGTCCCTCCCACAGCAGCAGCTGCAGGAGTCGGAGCAGCTGCAACCGCCCCAGCAGCCCTCGCGAGGGCGGCGGCAACGGCAGAAACAGCAACGGCGGCGGCAGCCACATCCGCAGCCGCCGCAGCCGCAGCCGCAGCCGCAGCCGCAGCCGCAGCCGCAGCCGCACCACCACCGCCACCAACAGCAACCGCAGCAGCAGCAGCCGCAGCCGCAGCACCCGCAGCAGCAGCAACAGCAACAGCAGCAGCAGCAGCAGCAGCAGCAGCAGCAGCAGCAGCAGCAGCAGCAGCAGCAACACCAGCAACAGCAGCGACCACAACCGCGCGGGCCAAGGGAGCAGCGGCAGTCCGGCCAATCGTCTCAGGAGTCTGAGCCTGCTCCTCCGCCGCGACCTACGCTGTCCCTCACCTCTGCGAGCGAGCGCCAACGACAGTTGGCGATTCATCAGTTCACTGCGGGTGACCTTCATCGGGCGGTACGGACACTACTGAGCTCCGGCATCTACAGGGCTGAATCTTTCGCTGATCTTCTTGCTGAAGCACAAGAGAAGTTCCCTGATGGTGCCTCGCCTGCCTTTGGAAGTGCTTCCGCGGATCATCTCACCCAGCAAGCGCTTGCAGTACTGCAGGTGGATTTGACTGACATCCTCGACACCACTAGCCTGATCCAGGCGATCAAGCGCTACAGCTCCTTTGCGGGGACCGATGACCAAGGGTGGAGGATTCGGCAACACCTGTCACCCCTTTCTAGTCATCCTGCAGCTTTGAAGCTCTACTGCAAACATATCCTCCAAGGGGTCCTTCTTGGCCAAATGCCGGATCTTCTTATTCCTGCCCTGTCAGCCATTCGTCGAGGAGGCAGATTTATTCCCCTCTCCAAGGGAGCTGATAAACCTGGTCTCCGGCCAATTGTCATCGGTTCCGCACACCGTCGACTCGCGACGAAGCTTGCTTTGGCAGGGATTCGCTCATTTCTTGACCAGCACTTCCTCTCGTCTCACCCTCGAGCGATTCAGTTCGGACTCGATCGAGACGGCTGTCTGAAGTTCTCGCAAACCGCGTCAGCGCTCCTGCCCCTTCACGCTCGCGGTGATGATGAGGATGTTGCCAACCCCACAGTGCTGGTGAGTTTGGATGCAAAGAACGCCTTCAACTCCCTCGACCGCCAGGCTCTCTTCGATGCAATCGAGGGACGTGCGAGTCGCGACTACTTTGATGGGAGCATCACTGAAGGCGCAAGCTTGCCCTCTTGCGAGCATCTCCGTTTGTTCGCCTCCTACCTCTCCAGCTACTATGGAGACTCTGCTGACCTTCGACTCTTTCACAAAAGTCAGTCAGCCTCCGTTCAGTGTACCTCGGGCGTCTGTCAGGGCGATGTCCCCTCCAGCGTATTTTTCTGCCACAGTATCCACCCCCTGCTCCTCCATATCGCAGAGCTTTTTCCCTCTGTTCGAGTCTTGGCCTATGCTGACAACGTCGTGCTTGTCGGTCCACTCGAGGATGCCGTTGCAGCTACGTCCGCTATGAAGAAGTACATGTTAGCTGATCTGAAGCTAGAGATTCAACCTCGCGAGTCGAAAGTTTACATCCCCTCCTGGCATCAACACCCTGATCTCTCGCAGCTGAAGAAGAGCCTTAAGCGCCGTCTCAAGACTCAACTTCTTCACTTCGAGGTCGTCACTGGCGGGATTACACTTGGCGGCCTGCCTATCGGCACGGATGGATTTCATGCTAGTCAGCTCCGAGCGAAGGTTTCTACCCTCAACGAAGAGCTCTCGAAGCTCGGGCTCGTCCAGCATGGCTTCATGTTCAAGACGCTGGTGAGGGCGAGCCATCTCCAGAAGCTGCGCTTCTTCCTCCAGGGGTCTTCTCCGTTTCTCCCGCGGGTCCAATCACAGATTCGTCGCTTTGACCTCTCTGTCCACCTGGCGCTTGAGAAATACCACCGCTGGCCTTCCTCGCAGTACCTCGCCGCGCATCCCGACCTGCTAGAGTTTGCGAGGTTCAAGCGGGAGCTTCCGCATAGTCGGGGTGGGGACGAGTTCACGCCCTCTGAGGGTCTACACCCCGCTGTTTACTATACGGCTATCGCTCGCTTCCTCGCTTGGTACTCTGACCAGCCCATGTCCCGGACCTTGCCCTCTCCTCATAGCCTGGACGTTCACTGCTCGAGATCTCTCCGTGCCCAGAAGCATCCTCTGGCGACCTTCTTCGTTGAGGCGCACGACTTCGTTCATAATGCTGGAGCGATCCTCTACCGTCGTGTGAGGGCTCCTGCACCGGCTGCAGATGGCGCGGCGATCCCACCTGCCCCGGCTGCTGTGCCTGATGACGCAGGCCGCCCCCCGGCATCTGTGGTACACATCCCTGGTTTGCGCGCTCTCGTCGACTCGTCTCATGAGCACTTCATTCCGCCGCCTGCGCAGCGAAATGTGACCCCTCTTGTCATGCGCGTCTTCCCTCGCCATGTGCATGCTCGCGCTGCGCTGACCGATCAGCAGCGTGATATCCTCACCTTGCACAGCCGCAGGACACACTCGCTCAAGTCGCAGGATAGGGTCTTGCAGTCTACCATCTTCGCTCATTTTCCTGAGCGTGACCTGAGCCACTCTCCGATGCGAGTCTCGAGCTACTACCCCCTCAAGGCCTTCCCGCACCGCTATGCTCAGATGCTCGACTGCTATCTCCATGGCATGCCGATCTGCCAGTGTCCGACGAAATGTGATGGATGTCAGCGCGAGCTCGACCCCTCCGTTGCTGCACATCATCTCCAGACCTGCAAACGCCGATCCTCCAAGCTTCCCACGGCGCATGACAACCTTGACTCGTGACGATTCGGTCGATGCTGAATGGAGGCTGGGTCTTCAGAGCGTCATCGATACAGTGGGGGATCCTCGTTCTC